GTGTGAGAACATAAAACTTGATGACTGATATTGTAGACATGACCATTTTTTTTTTATCATAAATCAATGCATTTGACATGTTGTTCCAAGATTAATTACAATCACCTTAGTTACTAATTTCTAATTTCCTAAACAGTTAGTTACATGTACCGTAGTAAAATGTATATCTCAAATATTTGAGAGAAACAAGCCGTTGTAAATACAGTAAAACTCAAGATCTAAGTGAAAAGATAGAATGAATGCAATTACATCAGTGTTGTGATGCGATTGGGACAGTGTCATCGTGGTTCTTAATCAGGGATAAAAATGAACTCATGGACTCCAACAGTCAGGCAATTCATCGACTACCTTGTTAGCCAGTATTGTATGTCCGGGTAGGCCACGGCTGATTATACAGAACACTAAACCTCAACAATCTCAATCGACAAACATTCACAGTGTTATAGATCGATTTATAACATACGCCTAGTAGTTGAAGATGTGATCGGTTATAAGCTAACAATACTTTGAAAGAGTGTGTAATCAAATCCTAGTAAATCATGCATTATCTGTGACTCAATGGTTTACATTCACAAAGTATTACAGAAAAAATTGAATATGCACTATTCCTGATATTTCATAGGTAATTGAGTATTTGGCCTACGCCTATACATATGTCGCAAGTTGAACAGGTACGAAGAACATCCTATATCAGTCAGTGTTCGGCTACTAACCTGCCAGTCCTGAGGCCACGACTAGTAATGTTAATCAGTAATCAATATAAATATATGAGTATACATTACTGCTACTACTATAGTGAAGGAGAACACCGGTGAGGGCAACCGGATTGTATTTAACGAAAATTACAGAGTTACTCAATAAAATAGGAAAACCATATCGTAAATCGTTAATTTGCAAAACATCAGTCCATCATATCGAACTGGACTGTTCCTGTTGTAAACAACATCAATCGATTGTCACTATTCATACGTTTCATACAAATTCCATTGTGTTCCCACTCTTCCTTTCTTGAACTTCCCCCATCTTCTGCTGCCAGACATTACGTTGACACTCACGTCATATACTACTTATAAGTAGCTCGCACCACAATATTATTACTATTATTACTTTTATTTAAGCCAGTGCTACTTCTTTACACCATCATATACTATGATATATGTGATTACCATATAAATAATACTTATTAACAATTATTCTCGTTAACCGGTATTTTTGTATTCTGTCTTACTGCATGCAACAAGTCAATCGATACTGTCAATTCAACATTTTAAGAACATAAAGTAAGCAGAGACCAAAATATTTCAAAAACTAATAATAACCTTATATATCCAATGGAGACCACAATGGTAACATTGTTTACTAGTGTAATTAATTTTAATAATAAAAATAAATCAGAACAAATGTGTCATTTGAAACATGGAATAAAGTGAAAAAAATTTTTTATGAATACAATAAGAAAAAAAAAATCAAAGTAGACAATTTCGAATCATGTGATGCCTGAACACTTTAAATCATATGATTAAGCGGGATGTCTAAAATAGATTGAATCATCATTTAAGCAAGCATACAGCTTGAAAATTTTTATTGTATGATATTAGTTCAATACTTTTTAAGGATAACAATTTAGTTGATCATGTAGTGGTATACTTTTACGAAGACAAACATTTATTATTGTACTTAATTCTGACATTGATTGTTATATTGTACTCCTTTTGTTTATCTGTACTAAAGACTATCTCTCTCGCGCGTCAAGCGTGTCTTTCTCATTTCGCTCCTCTCATCGCTTATTGTTAGCCGCTCATGTACCCCTAGTCTCGATATTATTTCGATATCATAAGACTAGCGATAAATATAATTCTTCATCCAGAATAGTGTTTTTCGTTTGACTTCTGGATTTTATCGGGATTTAAGTTAGTAATCCCGCGAGGATATATATTTATTTTAACTTACTATAATCAATTGCGGGTGAATACCATATGCAATCAGATTGCATAATCACTCGAAATTTATTTACTCTGTCTATGTAGATCAACGTACACATTCGTTGGAATGATATCTATCATAGAAATATTTATTCGAATGATTAGGATGATCATAGATCATATAAAATTTCTTTTTCTTAAAGAGGAAGAGAGAGAAACTTATACTATAACGGTTAGTCACTTTAAAAATTTATTTTCAGTTAATTTAAGTTTCATTGAACCGTTTCGCATGATCAATTTGAATTGATCATACAGCTGAATTTTAACATAATCAGAGATATCATGTAAATAATAATACGTTAATCTTTGATATTCAAGTTAGGGTAGAACATGTTTCATCCCTGGAGATATTTCACAGATTGAAAAAAAACCCGGCAAACTCATCATATGCATACAGCTTGCATGATGAGTACAGTTTATTCGATGACCATATATATGTATATGTAAGCGTGGTAATTTAAAATTAATAATTCATATCACGATGGATAAATGACTAATGGTCTTCTCAGATTTAAATAAAACGTGAATTTACATATATATATATATATATATATATATATATATATATATATATATATATATTCATATCCGCTTCACTAGCTTTTATACATTTCTTATCTGATATGTATCTGAAATGATTTTCATCCATAATGTATCGAGATGTTATAAACTGTTAAAAAATTTTGTTGTCTTTAAAGGAAGGTATTTTTTCGGGGGGGGGGGGGCGGTATTTATTTAAAAAATTCACAAATAACGCTTAATTAAATTTTTCACTAACAGATAAATCAAACATTATTTACTCATATTTTGTTTCATATTAAATGAAGTACTTACTATTTCTAATATATAATTGTATTGAGATTCTGGATTATGCTTATATCCTGTCTTATGAGAGATGACTAGCTTCAAAAGAGCTTAAAGGGACATTACGACGTGACGTATATAATGCTATGTATCATAAAATGTTATACTGTTGAAGTGTTTATATGGTAGTAAATATTACGAAGTGAAAATCTTTCATTTTTCATTGTGATTTATTCGAATGGATAAATAAACTATCACAGTTTACAATGATTTGAGTTGGTCTGAAAATAGTTTTCATTAATATTTAGAGCATTAGTTGAAGATGTGTTGAACTAACTAACTACAGGGTATTCAATCATTACATTTTTATAGCTCTAGATATTATTCAAACTATTTAATTCAATACTTCATTATCATCTGACAATTCTTACTTGAAATCGGTTATTAATGTGGTGCGAGCTACTTATAAGTAGTATATGACGCGAGTGTAAACGTAATGTCTGACAGCAGAAGATGGAGGAAGATCAAGAAAGGAAGAGTGAGAACACAATGAAATTTGTATGAAACGCATGAATAGTGAAATGTCAGACAATGGATTGATGATGGATTGAAGATTTGCAAATTAACCGTTTACGATATGGTTTTCCTATTTTCCTGAGTAACTCTGTAATTTTCGTTAAATACAATTCGGTTGCCCTCACCTGTGTTCTCCTTCACTACACTTAATAGTCATCAAAATGAGAATACTATTTATGATTATTCAAAGTAACCGACGATTAGACTGAATCGCATGATGAAGTGAAAACTTCCAGATTGGTATCAATTTGTAATTGGATAAGTTAAGTGGTGATGACGAGTTGAATACTGTAACACAGATGCAAGTGTATATTCATTTGTAATCTTGAGAAATTCTAAGCTTTAATATTATTTCCCGCTTAAATCTTTTTCTTTTTTTTAAAATATGTTTACAGCGCATTCAACTTGCATTACTATTGATGTACTTTATTTCGACTTCTATTGTTTTTCGTTGCGTTGAATTTTTTTTTGTGGTATGTTGAAATATCGTTGGCCAGACACCATCAGCAACAACGAACTGTGGGAGAAAACAAACCAGATTCCAGTGGAGGAGCAAATCAGGAAGCGGTGGAAGTGGATAGGACACACATTGCAGAAAGCACCTAACTGCGTCACAAGACAAGCCCTCACATGGAAACCTCAAGGCAAAAGGAAAAGAGGAAGGCCAAAGAACACACTACTCCGAGAAATAGAGAAAGATATGAGAGGAATGAACAAAAATTGGACAGAACTGGAGAAGGAAGCCCAGGACAGAGTTGGTTGTAGAAAACTGGTGGGCGGCCTATGCCCCATTGAGGGTAACAGGCGTAAGTAAGTAAGTAAGTATGTTGAAATATGATATGACAACAGAATGCACAGTTTTTCTACATTGTAAGTCGTTGATAATGCTATGGTATAATTAATACATGAAAAACATAGTTGTAAAGTACTAAATCTAAACATGCACTAATATTCACTGCAAACAAATGCACTGTAGTATTATGATTCATTTTACTCATTACAATATACACTTCGGAATAGATATTGAGAAATCTAAACACGATTTATTGAATAATTTCAAGTGTAATTCGTTCAAAATGATGGATTTGAACTAACTAATTCTAAAAGACAAGTTTGAGTAGATTTATTGCAAGAAAAGAAAATTCTACTGCAATCTATTATTAGATCAGTATATTTTACAAATGAGATTATGTTGTAATATGCAATAAGTATTCTTCACTACTATTATTCATTGTGTATATTTTTCACAAAAATTCCCCTATAGTTGAATCAAAATACTTGCTGAATAAACTACTAAGGTGTAAAAATTTTATTAATTTTTTTCACAGAATACTGGGTACTTAATTGTAACACTAAAAAAGATAATATGCAATTTTCATAGTGAACTGGCATCATTTAGAGGACTACTACTAAGAAAAAGGCAAAATAAAAACATTTTACTCATACCTTATTGATCATGATCCCTCATGGCCGTTTAAAAAGCTTATTCCTTTTAATGATATGCAAGTTTACACTGAAATCAATTGATTAGATAAACATTATGCATACACATTAAAAAATAATTCATTCAACACATGAGAACCTTGTATGGATAAGAAGTTAACAAGAAAAACCAATAATGAATATTTAAAAACTTACAGATTTTACAACAGCTTGCATGAAATATTGCTCCACAGATAATTTTACTTCTTTTTTCATTATTATTTTTATTATTACTATCATTATCATCATCATCATCATCATGATCTGAAAGTACAGACTGACAAAATAAAGTTGGATCAATTAAACTGATATTATTGCCATTACCTCCGTTAATATTAGCAATGAGATGGCATCCATTCGGATTACTATTGTTATGAGTAGTAGTAATAGGTTCGACAATAGGGCAATTACGTAAACATAAAATACAAATTTTAGAGGATTCATCATGTACAGTAGCAATATTTGTAGATGTAATTACAGTCCCAGTTGAATGTGCTGTTGTTTGTTGTTGTGTAGAAGGACAGATATATTGTTTACCAATTGATATGCTATTTAAAGTGTTCATATGATTTACAACTGTGGATGTTTGATTGTTAGTTATTAATTGTAAATTAATTGAAGTATTATTCAACAAAGATTTTTGTTTCATTGAAGTATTCGGTTTAAATGAAGAACGTCTTGCATGTGTGAAATTCGATTTGGATGTAAGACCATGAAATAAATCTGTGGTAGTTGTTGAGTGACTAAGTTTATTTGTAATTGCAGGTACTGCTGCTGCAGTGACTAATGGTTCTTGTAATTTATCATAATTATCTGTATAAACTGTGGTAGTGATAGCGGTAGTATTTTTATTTACTGGTGCCATTGAGGTCCGATATTTCAGGCTATTATTGGTACTATTCTCTTCCGATTCAATTGGTGTTAAACATCCTTCACCAAGAATTAAAGGACTACAATCTCTGACTGGACGAAACGTTGTTGATGAAGCAGAATGCCTTGATAAATATCATGAAAGAAAAACAAGAAAGTAAACAGCCAATCAACTACAGATTAAATTATAAGACATTTGTGGTCATTTTTAATCGAGGCTATGGTCTTTCCGATCGAAGGGTACAAACAACATGTTCCACTGATAGGTGTGATGAACACGTAGATTAAGTCAACTTTACTGACTGTTGAAGTGATATTCAAGTAGTTAAATATCACTTTCTGATTAATAAAATTAATCATACTCATTTGGTTCAACAACAAAGACATGGTTGCAAAAAATAAGCAGCACAAAATATGATATTTGATAGGCACTGTGTCTTCCCTTTAGTTTATGTAAAATGTGAACATGTGTATCTCACAAGCTCTATCCTCTACCTCGTTAGTGTGAAAGCTCCATTCATCACTTCTAATTAATATCCCCTTTTAGGTCAGAGTCATCGGTATTATTTTAAACCTTCATATTTCATCTTGTACCTTAGTATGTAGGTGAGCTTATAATTGATGAACGAACTTAGAGACACCAAAGTGACTTTGAGAAAGGTTAACTAATTATGAGGAACTAAAGTTGGTGATAAATCCGTGTAAGGGGACCAGGATCGAGATTTAGGATCAAAAGTTAAGGTTAGGAATTAGAGTTATGGTTTTCATCAGAAACTGACATTAGAATATCTCGTTAACCGATTAATAATTTATGGAAATAAAACTATCTGTCACAGTAAGTGACAGTTATCTTGAAGTTAATGATTTTTATCTGAAATAGATGTGCAGAATCAAGGAGAATTACAGCAGTTGACAAATGTATCACATTGACATCACGTTAACTCAATGAATTATATCAGAGCATTTATAACTAGATGATCTATTTCATTTGAAAATCTACATTCATTCAAGTACTTTGAAAGTATTTACTCATTTTTGCTACATTTATGAGTAAACACTTATATAAACTACAATAAACTAAGGATTTACAATCATTTCGATTGCTGAGATTATTTATTAGACCTGTGCTACCGTAGGGATTAAACTTAGTGAAATTAAAGGTTCTTCAATTGTCACTTCAATTATAATTAGCTTAAACTGACATGTTAACGATACATATTTGTCATAAGAGCGTCCTAACTGCCAATGTATCATATCCACTAGTAGTAATGCTGCTAAACGCTGTATATGTAATGATATTACCCTAAATGTCAACTACTTCATAATTTTACAAATAAGTATTGGTCATTTCATCAGGAGCGCTTTTAGTTCGTCAAAAAGTAAATTTTAATCCACGGTTACTGCCGGTCCCAAACCTGCATAAGCGCGAAGGGTTGGACAAGGGCGTTAGCAACCCTATCCCATAGAAAACAAGTTTGCCAAAAAATCTCTAACCAGAACAGATAATTCAAACCATTTAAATCCTGCCCTGTTGTTTGGAAGGTCTTATAACACCGCATGATGAAAGCCGAGTTTCTTCGCAAGTCATGAGGCTGATGCTGCTACTGACAATCAGAACAGCAATTAATACAAGTACATCGCAGAAATCAGAAGATGTCTTCAAGTTGCTGTGGAAATGAAAGGATAAAACCTGGTGGTACTTAGGATAAGTGAAACCACAAGCTTGACACAAAAGATTAACTTCGCGACATATGAGAGGAAAATGCCTCATATACACAAGGAGTCGCACTAATGCTGTCCAAACAAACACAAAAAGCACTTATAGGAGGGGAATCTCATACAACCATAATCATCAAAGCACCCTTTAAAACAAAGAAGGAGGGGAATAAAATGAATGACATCCAGTGCCATGCGCACACCAACGATAACAATGAGGACGATGAAGATCAGTTCTATAGGAGACTGCATTCAATCAACGAGGAATGTTCAGTAAATTATTTGACTATTCTGATGAGAGATCTAAACACAAAGGTTGGAACGGACAACACCGGATATGAAAACATCATGGGACGACATGGACTGGGAGAAAGAAACGAAAACGGTGAGAGATTTGCAAACCCATGTGCCTTCAACAAACTGGTCATGGGTGGCACCATATTTCCACGCAGACACGTACACAAAGCCACATGTATTTCACCGAATCACACCACACGGAATCAAATAGACCATATCCGTATCAATCAAAAGTTCAGAAGGACCATGGTAGTGGCCAGGATGAAACTGAAACTAAAAACGCACTCGAAAACTGTTCAAACAGCATCGCATTTCTTCAGAATGCAGTAAAACTCAATGAATTTAAGATAGACCACAGGAATAAGTTCTAAGCCTTTCAAGATCTATTCGATGAGGAGGAAACTATGATGGCGAATAACTGAAAAGGGACCAAGAAACCAATTACTTTAACATGTCATGAGGTTCTGAGTCACAAAAATCACCATCACAAGGAATGGATCTCCGTTGGTACTCTAGCTAAGATTCAAGAAAGGAGGAATAAGAAGGCAGCAGTCAACATCAACCGAACAAGAGCAGAGAAAGCAAAGGCACAAACTGAACACATAGAATAAATAAAGAGGAGCATCACAGCCGACAAACGTAAATACGTGGAAGATCTAGCAATGACGGCAGAAAAGGCTGCAAGAGAATGAAACATCAGACAATTATACTATACAACAAAGAAGCTCGCTGGAAACTATCGTAAACTAGGACGACCAGTGAGAAGCAAGGAAGGCAAAGTAATCAGTAACACTGAAGAACAGCTAAACAGGTGAGTGGAGCAATTTTAGGAACTCCAATGACTCCAATGACTCCAATGGCTCCAATGAACCCACCCAACATCGAAGCAGCACCTATGGACCTTCCAATCAATGTTGGTCCACCAACGATTGAAGAGATCAGCATGGCCATCAGACAAAACAAGAGTAGCAAAGCAGAGGTACCAGACAACATTACAGCTGGGGCACCAAAAGCAGACGTAACAGTAAATGCAGAGAAGCTAGATGCGCTCTTTGGCAAGATTAGGAAGAAGAACAAGTGACGACAGATTGAGAAAACGGATACCTGATCAAGATATTAAAAAAGGTAGTAGCAAGTGTGATAACTATAGAGGCATCACTCTTCTCTCAATTCCAGGAAGTATTTAACAGACGGCTGTTAAACCGAATGAAAGATCCAATAGACTACCAACTTTGAGATCAGTAGGTTGGATTTCGTAAGGATAGATGGTGTAGCAACCAAACAGTGACACTACGGATCATTTTGGAACAATCAACTGAATGAAGTCCACCACCATACATCAACTACATGGACTACGAGAAAGCATTTAGTGGTGTCGACAGGACAACACTTTGGAGGCTTCTTCGACCATACGGAGTGTCTCAGAAGATAGTCAACACGTAACAGACTTCTCATGATTGATTGAACTGCAAAATCGTGCGTGGAACACAGCTCGCACACTCGTTCGAAGTGAAGACCGGTGTCACACAAGGTCGATTGCCCTCACTCTTTCTCTTTATCCTGATAGTAGACTGGATTACCAAGACGTCAAGGTCTGGGGAGAAGCACGGAATACAGTGGACAGCTCAGATGCAGCTGAACAATTTTGACTTCGCAGATGATCTGATCTATATCTTCTATTTCACATGAACCAGCATATGTAGGAGATCATCAGTGTAGCGATCAACGTACCAGCGGTATCAACATATACAAAGGAAAAAGCAACATCCTTCGAAGCAACACAACATGCACCAACAAAATCACACTTGATGAAAAACTTTGGAAGATGTAAAAACCTTCAACTATCTGGTCAGCATCATTGGTAAACAAGGTAGAGTTGGTGCACATGTAAAGACACAGATGATTCACAAAGCGGGGGCAGTATTTCTACATATATTGAAGAACATCTAGAATTCAAAACAACTATCAACCAACACCAAAATCACAATTTTCAATGTAAATGTCAAAACAATTCTATTGTATGAAGTGAAAACTTCGAGAACTACCAAAACCAACATCCACAAGATACAGGTGCTCATTTAATAATTGTCTACGCAAAATAATTCTGATCTCTTGACTAAACACCATCAGCAACAGCCTAATGTGGGAGATAACAAACCACATTGCATCTGAAGAAGAAATTAGGATAAAGAGGTGGAAGTTGATTAGGAAACACTCGGAGGAAAGCACACAACTGAGTCACAAGACAAACCTTCAGCAGTAATCCTCAAAGTCAAAGGAAAACGGGGAGGTCAATGAGCACATTACGCTGAGAAATGGAGACAAACATGAGAAGAATGAACAGCAATTGGGTAGAACTGGAAAGGAAGGCCTATAATAGAATAGGTTAGAGAATGGTGGTTGGCGGCCTATAGTCTATTTGGGGTGACAGGAGCTATATCATTAATTCAGTGAATTTTCGGAAAATTACAGTCAGATGGTGCAGTGCAGTGCAGTGTACCACCAAAAATGCACTCAATTTAATCTGAGTGAGTTCGTAATTTTTCATTGCGTAATGTTTTAATAAAGGTTATGGCTAACACTTTTGTAGAATCAATGTCACCTATAAATAAATCTTGATTTAAAGAATATCTTATTCAGTATTATTATCAACTTGTTCTCACAAAGTGATAATTGACATAGAATTTAATTGATTCTCTATTGACTGATAATGGATAATAATAGTCTGTCATCTAGGAGCATACTGTTTTTACAGAACACCAGAAATTTAAACAATATTATACGCAGAAGAAAAAAACAGCAACAACTAACAAGATCTCAATATTCAAAGAGCTTATGATTGTGAATAAGTACTTTCAGAGTATATATATATATCAATGAAGTGATATGTGTATATGTTCACACATTCACTGAATTGTCTCAAATCAAATAGAATGTGTAGACTGATCCGTTGGTCTATTTCAATTGTATGAGAAAGTTGTTTCTATCCTTTCTGTTCTGTTTTTTCTGTTTCCTGTTTTTTTATAATTTTGACATGACCAACTAATTTATATGACAATAGAAATGATCGAAAAATGATGATATATTTTTTTTTATCGAGAAAAATAAAACT